ATTCTGAGGCTGTGTGGTATGGACTCCAGTTTCCATATGAGGTGGGACCTGGGTTATTTGACAAATCTGAGGGTATCAATAGTGGGGCAGATCTACTTAACTTGCCTAGAGGTGGGGTGGGTTGGGATAGGCATTGTGGTTTCCTGTCCAGTGGACATTCCCTCTCCTTCCTTGTCATCCTTCTTGTCCATTGGACAAGGAGGCTGAAAAGGGCAGATACTTTCCCAGCCCTCATGGCTAGCCGTGGTTAAATGACCTACTTTGGGTCAGTAAGATGTAAGTGGGACTCTGCTGGGGGCTTTTTTTGGGAAATATTTTCCTTTTGATGAAAGGATTTGGGTGTATGAGTAGAGTCTTTCTCATCATCCCAGATGTTCCCTACTTCCTGTATGTGTGAGTGGTTGGGTGAAGATGTGATGTCTGGAGTTGCAGCAGCCATTTTGTGTCTCTACGAGAATTTTGGGGAATTGTATCCCTGAGCCACCAGATCAACCCTTAACCACCTACGTTCAGCCTTCTTTTTATTACTAGCCACTGCTAGTTGATTTTTTTTTTGTTTCAGCCAAAAACTGCATTTTTAATGTTATAGAGAATGTTTGAGCATTTCATCTGAGGATATGGAGAATTGAGTGCCCCTTAAACTTTCACAGGGGCTTGAATTTTCTCTGTCCTACTCCTAGGCTGTTTTCTCTAAATTAAAAAAATTCAGTTGTCAAATATATCACCTATGCAGAAGAGTGTGTAAAACATACATGGATAGGGGCGCCTGGGTGGCTCAGTCAGTCGGTTGTCTGCCTTCAACTCAGGTCATGCTCCCAGATCCTGGAATCAAGCCCCGCATCGGGCTCCCTCCTCAGAAGGGAGTCTTCTTCTCTCTCTCCCTCTGCCCCTCCCCCTGCTCGTGCTCTCTCTTTCTCTCACTCTCTCTCAAATAAATAAATAAAATCTTACAAAAAATACATGTATAAAGAATAATAATAAAATGCCCATATACGCACCACCTCAGTTAAAGATCAGAACATCATCAAACCTTACACTCTGCATGTCCCTCTCCATCAGACCCCCTTTTCTCCAAAGCTAACTACTAGCCTTAATTTTGTGCTAATCACTTTCTGCTGTTCTTCATGGTTTTACCCCTCATGTGTCCCTAAACAGCATCATATTTAATTTTGCCTGTCCTCAAATTGTCTACAAACGGAAGCAGACTGTACACGTTCTTTTGTAACTTTCGTCTCTTGTCGTATTTGTCGTATGTCATGCTCTTGAGTTGCGTGCATATTGGGGGTGCAGTGATGGTTCTGTCATTCTCATGGCTGTATAATTTTCTGCTGTAAGATTAGCTTGCAGGTGATGTGTTTATTCTGTGGTTGGCATGTGCAAGAATCACTTGGGGGCATACACATTTGATGGGGATGCTGGGTCATAGGAATGCACCTGCTACCTCCATTAGATAATGCCAAGCCGTCTTCCAGAGCGGCTGCGCCAATTTAAACTCCTGGCTGCTCGTGTTGCTTACATCCTCACTGACACCCCGTCCTGGGCGCGTTCTGTTCTGAATGGCTCTGTGGCGAGGCAGAGTTGACCTCTGACCTTTGAAGGTGCCCTGCCCCCGTTTGCCATTATGTATCAGCATTCATACTTCTTTAAATGATCACCCCAAATTGATTTTGGGGGTCCCGAAATAAGGCCACCATCTCGCTCGTGGCCTTTCTCTCCGGGTTCTACTGATTTTGGAGTTTCTAATAAGGGGACAAACCAATTTGACTTTCTCAGTCATGAGAACCGCACCTGATTCGATTTGCCCACATGTCAGCCAGAGCTTTTCCTGAAGGTCAGCATCCACTGTCTTTCCCTGGGTTCCCTCTCTGTCTTTTGAATGATCAGCTCTAAAGGTGGAGGCAAACTGCAGGATTCTCAGGGGTGCACACTGCAGGAAAGAGTGGGCATTGGGGACAAGGTGGGCAGCAGGACAGCTAAAGGCTAAAGAGCCTCTCTTGGGTCTAATTACTGGCATGGACAGGCCCCCTAACCTCTCTGAGCCTTAATGTCCCCCTCTGTCAAAACAGGGGTGATAAAACAGGGTCATCGTGGGAGAGGGGGTCTACATGGCATTGGTTAGCACAACACCAGCATGCAGCAAGTGCTCAATAAATGCTAGCAGCCACTCCTGGTAGCAGCTCTCATCCGTAGAGCAGGATGCTGGGGTTTGAGAGACGTCCCAGGTGTCATTGCTATCTTGCCATAAATGCGCCCCAGAAGACTCATGATTTGGACGATTATGTGCTAAGACATGGCCAGTGAGAGAAAAAGAGCCAGGTACCCCTAGGGAAGATTTACCCGCCGAGCACTGACGAAACCAGGAACGGTCCCCGTAAACACTCAAGCGCGTCGACTCCTGGGGTTCATTTACACCCAGCCTCGCGGTCGGCTCCACGTTTTTAAAATTTTATTTATTTATTTATTTATTTATTTATTTATTTGAGAGAGAGAGAGAGAGAGAACACGAGCAGGGCGAAGGGCAGAGGGAGAGGGACAAGCAGGTTCCCCACTGAGCAGGGAGCCTAATGTAGGGCTTGATCCCAGGACCCTGAGATCATGACCTGAGCCAAAGTCAGAGGCTTAACTGACTGAGCCACCCAGGCTCCCCTATGTTGGCTTTTTTGATACAATGTCAGAGTTGGGGATTGTGGCAGGGACCAAATGGCCCACAAAGCCTAGAATGTTTACTATCTGGCTTTTTATAGGCTTTTCTGACCCCTGTTCTAGAATTATGAAAATCATCAATTTGCTGTGTCCACAGTCTTTTTCTGCTTTGGGTTCCTAGAGCCCAGTATCGGTCATGATGAAGCTCTGGTGCTGTAACCAAGAGGCTCTACGAAACAGTAGGGACAGATTCACCAGTTTTCAGCCGAGCTGCCTCAGTTTCTTCTTTGTGACCGAGGACGGATCAGCTCTGAGGAGTCACCCATTGAAGCAGCTGTGATTTATCTGGCCACCTTTTGTGTGGGTGAGCTTCCCTTTCCAAGTCACCATTCATCCCTGGTGCCCCAGGAAACAGGGGACCCCCCCTCCCATCTGTTTAGGACGTTGCCCCAGCCTTCACTGGCTAGCCATTTCCTGGCCCTGTGAGGTCACACTTCCTGGCTCCTGGCCCAGGCAGAGGGGCCAGACTCCCTGCCTCTGCAACTTCTGTCTCTGTGAAACCACTGAGATCAGACCTAACTGATTGGAAATTGACTCCTCCCCCCTGCTCCCCTCCCGCAGTGGCCCCTTGTCCCCTGGGCCCCTGAACCCACACTCTGAGGACTGGTAGTTGCACTGAGGCGTCCGCCCGAGGCTCTCATCCTGGCCAGGCTGGGCAGCATCCAGGTAAGAACCTGAGAGGGCAGGAAAATACCCTTTCTAATTTGCTTTAGAGACATAGGAACATTTTATTATAATGTAATTAGGTATTCATTGTCAAAAGATAAACTAGCCCAGTAGGCCAGAAGAGTGAAAATTAAGAAAACCCCACTCCTTCCTGTGTTCGTTGGCTCCATTCTTCAGTTGAGTCTTATTTTTCTGTTGCTTTCTCTCCATCTACCAGCACACCCTCACATAGGGCGACAAAGGCATGTGCGTACCATTCCCCACTTGCTTGCTTTCCCTGACATAGAACTCAGGCAAGTCCCCAAGTCTGTAACACGGATTACATTCTTGTTCTCTTTCTGCCTCCTTGTCTGTAATAGCTGTTTAGCAATCCCCCGGTGGGTACCTACCCTTTTATTTCTTCAGAATATAGGCTTCTTTAAAGCCTAGTGCAAATGCCATCCTCCTCCAAGAAGTCTTCCTTGATTCCTGGAGCACAAAATGGCCACTTCCTGCTCCAAATTCCTAGAGTCCCGTCCTGGCTCAGATGTTGTATCAGTCAGGGGAAAGCTATGTTGCTGTAACAGAGAGACTCAGACCTATAGACACTTCAAGGATGGAGAGGTTATTTCTCTCCTACTTGCTGGGACAGCCCTGTCCCTCCAGCCATTTCAGGATCCTGGTTCCTTCTAACTCCTTGCTCTGACATCCCCTAGGGCACTCCAGTGTCTGCATGGTTGAATCTGGTCCCCCCGGGAAAATGGGACAGAGTGTGGAGGAGACCTGTCTGATGTCCTCACCCCTGAGCTGGAGCGTCCACTCACAAGCCATTGGCAAGAGCTTTGCGCGGCTGTGCCTACTGCCTCGGAGGCCAGATGTTGGCTTCAACATCATAGGAGAATGGGAAAGAGTTTGGTGGGCAGTGGCTGGTCTTCACCACAGGCCTTGATAAGCCTTTAACCTCATGTTTGGGATCTACATGTTTGCATTTCCTGGCTTTGGCATTGGAAAGGGTGAGGGAGAAGGATTCAGGACTGGCCCATCTTTGCACCTTCCTTCAGGCCCACGCAGCACCGGCATATGGTCAATGTGTAGTGATGCAGTCTGTCATTGAATCCGAGGGTGGTGGACCCTGAACAGAATCACTCACTCACTCGGCAGAAAGCTGTTAATGTTTACTGTGTGCCAAGTGCTGTTCTGGGCCCTGGCGAACTCAAACATTGTTATCATTATCCTTTCCTGGATAATGGGTTCCTGGAAAAGGAAATTCTCTTCCTGCCCCAGGGCCTTTGCATATGCTATTCCTTCTCCCTGTGGCTCTCCTCCTCACTTGTCAACCCAGCCCCTACTTTGTGTTTCTTCATAAATGTCACCCGCTCAAGGAAGCTTTCTCTGCCCCCCCCCCCCATTCCGGACTGGGTTGGGTCCTCCCCGTCATTCACACATTGTACTTTTCCTTTGTCACTTTGTCACAACTATGTTGAAGTAACTTTTTGGGTATAAGATGTTATTTCAAGTCAGTCCCTGCCGTGAGTGTGTAAGGCGCATGGTGACAGGTGCCTTTTTGAGTGCTCAGCACCTAGCAGAACACCTGACACTTGACTTGTTCAATGTCTTACCTGTTTTATTGCCAGTTCACAGACGAAGAAATTGAGGCCCAGAGAGGCTGTGCGACTGGCCTAAGATCACACAGCTGGTGAGTTTGGGCCTTGAGGTTTCAGCCTATCTGCCTCTAGGAGCCCTTGCCTTCACAGCTAAATGCAACGAGAATGCCTCATGATGTGTGCTATAATAGGGTATTAATAGGGTATTAGGTTAAGGGGTGGTGGGAGGGCAGAGGAGGGCATGACTGACTCGGCCTGGGGGAGTGAATAGCTGCCTGGAGGAGGCCGTGACCTTCACGACTCAGAGCCGTGGGTAGTTTGGAACAGCTCTAGCGACCGTGGGGGAGTGTGGAAGGTGGAACCAAATGGTGGGGCTTGTTGTGAAGGCCCTGCTTTGGGCTGTCAGGGAGTTCAGGCTCAGTTGAGCTGATGGGAATTCTCAGAATTTCCTAAGTAGGTGTGGGGGGTGGTGTGTGACATGATCCAGTAGGTTCCGTTTAGAGCATCACCTTAGGTCAGGGCTGCTTGCTGGTGCTTGTCGGCCGGGCTCCCTGCGCATCCTGCAGTGGAATTCGTGGCCAAGTCTATTAGGATTCTGACCATGGAGCCAAACACCTAAAATGACAGTGGGTTAAACAAGATAGAAGCTTTTTTCCCTCTCCCACATGAAAGTCCCAATTAGGTAGGTACCTCAGCTCCATACTGGGGACCCAGGATTCTTCTAGATAGTTGCTCTGCCAGTTCCCCAAGACATGGCCCTTGTCCACATGGTCTGAAATGGACCACGGTCATGGCCAGATTCCAGCCACCAGACGGGGTGGCTCTTCGGGTCAAATAGGATCCTCTCAGTTCAAACTGGAAAGATTAAGAGATTGCACGTAAGAGTCAGGATTTGGGTTCTTGGACAATAGGAAGGCTCTGGCGGTCATGCATGGCCCAGCAGATGGAGCTGGGTAGCACTCATCTGTACACCCCACGCAGCCCCCCAGCACCCCCCAACCCTGGAGGGGCACGGAGGCCCTGCAGGTGCTGAGCCAGGGGGCCGGAGCCAGCCCTGGCTCTGCCTACACCCCCCCCAGGCTTTGTGCCTTCCTTCCTGGTGAATGTGGTCCCAGCTAGTCCCTCTGCCTTCCAAATCCTGAGACTCTCCAGGAGACCATGCCAGAAATCAGGGCGAGCTTCCTCTCCAAATGGCCCTTTGGACCTGTATGCTGGGCCGTCATTCCCCAACCTGGGAGCGCCTCTGACCGGGAGTCCCCACGTGGGGCAAGTGCACCCGGCCCTGCAGAGCCCCCTCCTCAGCCCTGCCTGCAGAGGCTCCGGCACCTGCTCGGCCATCCTAGAAAGGGCTGAGGCTGGCCCAGCAGGAGCCAGCCATTCCAACTGCGATGCTGTTCAGATTTTCTGCCAAGGACAAGTTCGCAGTCACGGCCCTGGGGAAGCTCTAGATTGCGTTCCCCCGCTCCTGCTGGGGACCGGTTGCCTAGGAGTGCTTTCCCGTGTCGGGATCGTTGGTGCCATCCTTATCCATTATTCCTGACACCAGGCCTCCGGAGCTGAGACTCTGTCAGGCAGAAGGGGGATGGATGGCTCTCCTCTCGGGAGCAAATGTGGACGCGTATGCTGGAGAACAGGGAGGCTTGCTGCCCAGCGGGTGTGGGCTTCTGGGTCCCTAAGGCCCCTGTGGCAGGAAGTGGCATTGGGAGGGTGACCCCTCAAGGTCAAACAGCACTTCACAACATGCAAAAGGCTCTCCCATACAAGGCCAAGTTTGGTCTAATTTGTTCTTCCTGAGCACCGTGCAGCAGCGGCTGGGGCCCCTGCGCCTCCGAGGACCAGGCACGTTGGGTGCGATTCCCCACAGAGTGCCTGGGCTCTGGGGTCCAGGCCCCCCCTCCTATCTGCATTTGAGGGTGGGGTCTCTCATGGCGGACTCTCCTACTGAAGGGGGGCAGCTCCCAGAAGAGATGCTGAGCAACCCTCTCAAAGAGGCTCAAGGCATTTGCTGATTTTCCTGAGGATCCGTGGGAGGCTGCATCACTCAAGGCGGGGCTTCTGGCACCTGGCTGGCTCGGTCTCCTTCCACCTGCTTTTCCACAGAGTACCCAATGCCCCCACTTTGTCATGCAGAGGCCCCCCTCCTCCCCCGAGGCCTTCCCCATTGGCGGGGCCCTCACCCTCTACTCGAGCACTTGTTAAACCATTTTCCTCAACAAAGTAATTTCTGTTCCCCAGAGGAATTCTGGTGCCAGTAGCTAGGATGAGACGGGTCCCCCACCTGGTGATGCTGCTCACAGCCGTGGAGGGGGCTGAAGTAAGACATTGCCCCCACTTTACAGATGAGAAACTGACACACATAGGGAGGCGCAGTGACTCCGCGGGATCCAGATCCAGTGCTCTTTGCTGGCACACGGTGTTGAGTTTGCTTCCATCTTGAGCCTTCCTGGGATGACTGGAGACCAAGGGTACTAGCAAACCTTTTGTATACACATTCAGCATGTAGGAGCCCGCCGCCTGTGTATGGAGACAGAGGGAGACCCCCATGGAGCTGAGTCTGCAGAGACAGTGAACACACACACAAATGCGTCTTCCCACGGTCGGGTACGAGTACCGCTGGGCCAGATACGGTGGGGTCAAGGGGCAGGGGGTGCAGGGGTGCATGCGATCTTCTTCTGAGGGTCAGGAAGGCCTCGTTGAGGGTGTGAAACCCACCAAAGAAGGAAGAGGGCAAGCAGGTGCAAAGGTGGGAGGCTGGACAGTGCCCGGGGTGTGGGGAGCAGTGCGGACACCCCAGGACTGGATACAGTGAGGGGTGGGGCCGGGGCAGGGAGTAGGAAGGGCACCTCGTATAGGGCTCCTGGGCTGGGTCCTGGCTGCGCATTGGAGCCGCGTGGGGATTTAAAAGTCCTGACACCTGGACCCACCTCCTGAGCATCAGGTGGCTCATATGCGCAGCTAGGGTTGAGGACCACTGGTCTAGGGCCCTGCAGGCCACCGTGAGGACTTGAGTTTTATTCTAAGTGTGACCAAAAGTGCTGGGAGGGCAGGCAGGGAAGCGATACAATCTGATTTACTTTTCTAGAAGATCTCCCCGGTGGACCTTGGAACAGATGGAAGGCTGTGGGAGAGAAGGTAGTGAGTGAGGCCAGAGGGAGGCCGCCGCCGTGGTCCAGCGGGGGGTGGGGGGGGCGGGGCAGAGCTGGCTGCCAAGGAAACCCATCTTGGTGGGGGGGGCCTCAAATGACCATAAACTTAAGTGGCTTAAACCAACATAATTCTCTTAACAGTTCTGGAGGTCAGAAGGTCTAAAATCAAGGTATCTGTAGGGCTGCACTCCTTCCGGAGGCTTCGGGGGAGAATATGTCTGCTTGCTTTTTCAGCTTCTAGAGGCGATCTGCATTCCTTGGCTCATGGTCCTTCCTCCTTCTTCAAAGCACATCGTATGCCAACCTCTAGTCTGTTGTCGAATCTTTTCTGTTTTGCAACTCTGAGTCTTTGGTCTCCTTTTCATATGGACCTTTGTGATGACCTTGGACCTACCCAGGTAATCTAGGCTAATCTTCTCAACTCAAGATCCTTAATCACGTCTGCAAAGTCCCTTTTGCCGTGTTGGGGAACATATTTATAGAATCTGAAGATTAGGACATGGACATCTTTGGGTCCATTGTTCAGCCCTCGGTGGAGGGTCTGTGGTCTGGGGCCCAGGGACTCTCTTTGCTCCTCCTGGGGACCTCAGGTGTCTCTCTGCCTGGGCACAGCTATGCCTTGGCTTTTGCTTTCTACCTTCAAATGCTGTGCCAGCAACAAAGGTCAGTGTTTTGGGGGTCCTTCAGGTGGGCAGAGGACTTCTGTGGTCGTCAGAGTTGCTCACTGGCCTTAGGGGACGCTGATGCCATTCTGGTCTCCAGCCAGAGGGCTTGGTCGACCAGATCACTCACTCCCATTTGTCTGGTGTTTCCAGAATGTATTAGTTTCCTACTGTTGCTGTATCAAATTTACTACAAATTTAGTGGCTTCATAATACAGATTTATTCTCTTAGTTCTGGAAGTCAATGGTGCCATGTAATCTCACCCACTTACAACCAAGGTGGTTGGCAGGCTGTGTTCCTTTCTGGATGCTCTAGGGGAAAATCTGTTCTGCTTATGCTTATCATTGGCAGGATTCAGGTCCTTGAGGTTGTAGGAGTGAGGTCCTTGTTTTCTTGCCGGCTGTAAACTGAAGGCTGTGCTTGGCTTCCAGAAGTCGCCATGGTCTGGGGCTCATGAGCCCTTCCTCCATCTTCAGAGCCAGCAATAGGTGGTCAGGTTCTTTCCATGTTGCATCTGTCTCTGTCCAGAGCTGGGAAAGGTTCTCTGCTTTTGAGGACTCGTGTGATTGCATTGGGTCCTCCTGGATATTCCCAGATGATCTCGCCATCTCAAGATTTGCAACCTTAATTACGTCTGCAAAATCCCTTCTGTCACGGAAAGGAACATACTTACAGGTTTTGAGGATTAAGGCATGGACATCTTTGGAGGCCGTTAGTCTGCCTGCCACACCAAATAATGATAATAAAGACTGTAATGTAATTAACCCTAATTAAGTATTTACTACATGACACGCTTTATGTTCAGCAACTCACCGAATCCTCAGAATGATCCTTTATTGTTATGCCTATTTTATAGAATGGGAAACTGAAGTACAGAGAGGTGCAGTAATGGTATGGGTTGAATTATGTCACACCCCCCCCTCCCCGGAGAATTCATGGGTTGAAGTCCTAACTCCTGGTGTCTCGGACTGCGACCTTGTTTGGAGATAGGGTGTTTACAGAGGTAATTGAGTTAAATGAAGTCATTAGGGTGGTGTCTTTATGCAAAGGGGAAATTTGGCGATACACATGCATACAAGGAAGATGCCATGTGAACGTGAAGACGGCCAGCTAGGAGCCAAGGAGAAAGGCCTGGGACAGATGCTCCCTCCCAGCCCTTGGAAGGAACGTACCTTGCTGATGCTTTGATCTTGGACTTGATCTTGGCCTCCAGAACTGTGAGACAGTCGATTTCTGTCGTTTAAGGCCCCCACTTAGTGGTGCTAGCAAACTGATATAGGTAATTTATGTTAGTTGTGGCGCGTGGCTTCGAACCTGGCCTCCCTCTCGGGCAGACTGTTTGCCGCTTGCTGTTGTCTCTACCTCTCTCTCTCTTTACTTCGTTTGCCTCTGCCTTGCTCTGTCTTGACCTTTCTTTTGTCTTCTTTTTCTCATTCACTGTGCCCTGTCTCCTCATGGCTTAATCCCGCTGAAACTGTTTCTGTCTCCCTCCTTCCCTCCTTGCCCTGTGGACCGAGAGGGGACCCTGGCTCCTGCCTCCCAGCTCCCCACTCCCCACCGCCGCCCCATCTCCCTCCAGCCACTGTGTCCCCCAGAGCACACCTCTGTAATTGCACCGCTGACGGATCGAGGCGCAGGTGTGCCTGAGTCCCAGGGTGCTAGCCCTGGCTCTGCTGGGGGCCTCGGTGGTGGCGGCTCTGGGTTGGTCGTCCGGGGGCTGGGTGCAGAGGCTTCCCAGTCTGAGAGCGGAGGCCCATGAGCCGCAAGAGGAGCCAAGCCGAGCCTCCTCTCCCCCGCTCCTTCCTCTCGACCCTGCTGTGCACACAGGAGCTTCCGACTGAATGGCTGTCAGCCCAGCTGCCCCACCAGGCCTGGCTGGCGCGGGACACTGGCCCTGGGCATGTTCCGGCGATCACCGTGACCTTGACGCAGTGACTCTTGTCGGCTGCCCTTGGCTCCTGGTTTCAGCGTCTGCAGAGCAGGCCTGCCCGCCTCGCCGCAGGCTCAACGTTGAGGACTGGCCTGTCCCCTCTGTTGCCCCTGCGTCTGGGTCCCCTGTTGCTCTGAGTGGGAAGCTCCTCACGTCCCTAAGCTCCAAGAACTCTGGTGGCCTCCTGTGGAGTTGCAGGGGGCACTGAGATGGAGACAGGGCTGGAGGAAGTCAAGACAGGCTGCCGAGAAGGAATTCTGGGGACTGCCCAACACAGGGCACTTTGGAGCTATCCTCCCAGCCCAGGCTTCCTTCTTTGAGAGTTTTCTCACCCACAGTGGTGGCCACGATTTCCTGGGTGGCCTTGCCCTTCCCTGGATGTGCTGACTGGCCTCTCGGGCTGGACACCTGACCTGAGCTGGGCCAATCCGCTGCTCTGCCCTGGGAACCTGGAGGACCCAAAGACCGGTTGGGCTCCGTAGGGCTGCATGCCGGGCTGGGGCTGAGGTGACTGCCTGTGCTCAGAGGAGCAGAGAGGGCCCAGAAGAAAGACCTTGGGGGGCGCCTGGGTGGCTCAGTTGGTTGAGTGACGGCCTTTGGCTCAGGTCATGATCCTGGAGTCCCGGGATCGAGTCCCACCTTGGGCTCCCTGCTCAATGGGGAGCCTGCTTCTCCCTCTGACCCTCCCCCCTCTCATGTACTCTCTCTCTCTCTCATTCTTGCTCTCTCAAATAAATAAATAAATCTTAAACAAAAAAAAAAAAAAAGAAAGAAAGAAAAGAAAGACCTCAGAGCTGAGATAACCAGCCTCTTGAGGGGCTGTTCTGGCTGCAGACGGTTCCTCTCTTCCGGCAGGGCCCGCATCTGGCCTCAGTGAGACAGCCTTATAACCTTCCACGTTAACGAGCTTCCACGCCTTACCCTGTGAGTGGGTTCTGTCTTTTGCAACCACACAGCCTCCAGATAGAGCTTTTAAAAATGCAAATCAGATCACAGAGCTCTGTGCTTGGCTCCCTCCAGTGACTTCCCAGAGCCCCAGCTTAGCTCCCCACGTGTGCCCCAGCCAAAGGCCTGCACAATCCAGCCCTGCTCACTCCTCCCATGTCCCTCCTTTGGTTTGCCTAGCACCCAATTAGCCCCAGGCCCTCTAGCCTCTTTGCTGCTCCTCCAGTGCTCCAGTGTATTCCTGCCCCAGGGCCTTTGCGCTTGATACGCTTCTCCCTGAGATGCTCTCCCCCAGGATCCTTACATGGCTGGCTTGTCTTCATCAGGCTAAAGCTAGAATGTGCTCTCACCAGAGAGAAGGCCCTGGTCACCTTGTTGAAGGTGCCTCACCCATGCCTGTCTCTCCATCCCAGCTCCCTGTTTTGTTTTATTCAGCGTGCAAGTTGTCATCTGTTGTTTACTTCTTTGTTTACTTGTTTACAGTCTGTCCCCTCTGCTGGAACTTCCTGTCTTGTTCACTCCTGAATTTTCAGTGCTTCCAACGGTGCCGGACACATAGTAGGTGCTTAAGGAAGATTTGTCGATTGCATGCAAAAGAAATGGTGAAAGGGTTGAGAGATGCCCTGGAGTTTGGCGGGGTCTGCTGGGAGGGAGTTAAAGGACATATCTCACTCTCCCGCACAGACAGGACCTCGCCTCCTCTTGCCTGTTGGTTGCTCTGACCCAGTAGGTGATAGTTCTAAAGGTCTCCAAGCGATGGGTGGAGACCGGGTGGCTGGGCTGCAAGGAGGTGGTGAGTGCAGTGGAGTGGCGGATCCTCCTGGACCCCTCCGGTCCCCTTCTGGGCTGACATGCGATCCGCCCACTGGACCAGTATCTGCTCCTTCTCTTGTGGACCCTGGGAATGATTTCCCCGGGAGAGTCCCCCGTCTTTCCTAGAGTCCTTTTGTAAGTGACCACGGTTCAGATTCCCCAAGACTGGGGGCTTTGGCCTGGGGAAGGGTCTTGTGTCTGAAAGCGAGCCCCTTCTTGGATAAGCTGGTGAGAGAGACCATTTCATATGAGGGTGAGTTGCCTTCTGCCTGTCTCTCTCTGCTTTGTTTTAAAAATTCATCGTATTTACTAGATATGACATTACACACTGATCCCACACCATATTTCATGCTGTAAAGAGACCACCCTGCCATCAGGCTGCACAGACATCACAGGCTTCGGGGGAGACCC